GCCCGCAGGCCCCGCGCAAGCCCCGCGCCCCGCAAGCCCGGCATGGCGCTCGGGAGGGCGCGGCGCCGCCCGGACTGACGTCATTCCCTGGCGTCCAGTCGCGGACAGGCATGCGCAGTGGGGCAGCGGATGACCCTCAGTTCCTGCCCCAGTGGGCGGTGGCGTGGGACGGCTTTCGAGTCAGTGTTCCTGAAATAGGGATCATCGTGGCCGCTAACCTTGGGGGGGGGGGGAAGGTACTTAACGTAAAAAAAAGGAATTCCTGTCATCAGTGATAAAAGACCAAAAAAAAAAAAAATCAACAAATTTAGTTTAAAGATCTCAATTGCTTTACTTGCGATTCTAGAATCCGGCAACACTTCATTGCATAAAATATAATAAATGTTCCAATGAACTGAGCAGAGAAGGTCGGCTTTATAGACAGAAAAAGGGCTGACTAGAGCAGAAACAACAAAAAGCAGATTGGTCATGTCAAAGTATTTTCCCGTAAGGCGGGGACAGGGAGACAATAGAAGAAGGCCTGGCCTGGTTAGCTAAGATCAGGTTACTTCAGGTTAGGGATTAAAACAGAGGGAACTGGGCATGCGGATTGAAACTGGACTCGTTTGGGAAATTAGTTGTTACCAAGGAAAATCCCTGGCCTGAGTGCAAAAATAAAACACACCAGGAGACAGGGACTGAACCAAAGTGTATTAGGCAGGCAAAATAAACAAGCGAGAGTGGAAGCAGCAGCAGGGGGAGTCGGGGTGGGCCTTTTATATCCAGTTAGGCTGAGCTGGACTGTTCCTATTGGCTAAGAAGGAAGAAGGGTAGGGCGGTGAGCGGGGTTTAAGCTGAGTTGGGATTTTTTTCTGTGGTTAGAGAAATACCCTCGGGGGAAGGGGATGTGATGGTGAGGAAGAAGAGGGAGGGTTTTTTTGTGATTCTCCAAAATGTTTTGTTCTAGGGACCTGAAACTCTCTGCAGCCATTTTGGGTGTTCCTCCCGTCCGCCCACTGCCATCTTAGACATCAGCTAAAACATAATTGCCTAACAGTTACTGTTACCGGACGGCATATCCAGGATCTTGGTTTATGAAAGAATCATCTTTAACGGACCTGCAAAAGAAAAGGAAGAGACAGAGAAACGGAACATGATAGGGCTTCATTACCAAGCTAAGGTAGGTGTCAAAGTGCACAGGCATCTCCCCCGGAGAGAGACGCACTCGCCCCAGACTTTCTCCGGCCTCACCGTCCCACCTGCAAACTCCCAGTGGCCAACCTCTGCCCCTCCTGTCCTGCATAGTACGCAGGCTCTGACTGCTGCAGTCCGAATATTTCTGAGCAGCCTCCTTGGGTCGCGTGCCTGTTTTGTCCCTGCCTCATTGACCTGTCTCTCCTGATTCGCAGAAGGTTAGATAACTTATTTTTAGTTTGATGATGTGGAACCTCAGCACGGGTGATTCCATTTTGAGTTTTAGTTTGGTCTGTTGGAGCCTAGTATAAGAACTTATTCCAAAACAATGACCTCCTATAAATTTTGTCTAATAGAAGCTTTCACAATAAATGGAAAAGATACTGTTTATTTATATGTAAGAGTTGTACCGGGGAAAAAAGCTGCAAAAAATCTACTGAATCCAAAATATTAATTTGCATTCATGTGTTTCCTTTTTAAATCTGAAAGGATACCAAATCCAAGAATGTAAATTAAAACTGTATTAAGACTAAGGGCGTTAAAAGATTGCATCATTACACAAGTGAAAACTTTAAATTTGACAGCCATTCATCCAAAAGAGTTGTATAATCCAGAGACAGGGAGCGTGTGTGATGCTAAGAGCTAGCCTGCAGCTAGAACATTTGGTTGGCACTCTTAATCATAGTCAACCCCTTGCATAGTGCTGTGTGATAGGCACTGTTCCAGGCACTTTACATGTATTATTCCATTCAGCCCTTCACTTAGTGACCCTGGGCAAGTCACTCATCTGAATTTCAGTATTCTGGGGAGTTGGGCTAATCTCTAAGGTCCTTTGCTTAAAATCGGTAGAGTGATTCTGTGATATCTTGCATGTTCTAAGTACAACAAGCTGGCTACTGGATGCTTCAAGTGTAATGAGGCAGGGGGCGCCCTAGCTTTTCTCGTATCTGCAAAGAATAAAGGCCAGCTGGCCATCTGGGAAGCTCTCCTTAGCTCCTAGTTGTTTAGACTGGAGATGATTTAGGTCAGTCCCAAACCTTAAAAGGGTGTAATATTAGTCATCTATTGTATCATGACTTACCAATTTAGGTCCGAATTCCCCAACTTAACATTTGAGGCCTTTGACCTCACTTTACTTTTTCAAATATTGCCCCCTGCTGTTTATACATAAGCTTGCTCTCCAGGTAACAGAGGTGGGGGTAGTACCAAACACATGGCACTTTTATACCTGCATGCTATTTGCCATTGCCTAGAGTTTGCACTGTAGACTCCACCTGTTGATCTAAAATTCAAGAAGCATCATGAATACTCTTTCCCCATTGGAAAAAAAATGATAAAATAACTTTATTTCTTGTAATACTCAAAGCACAATATATCCGTATGTTATAAAGATAAATCCTGTTGGAAGATTCTGAGGTTCTGTAAAGCTATGCAACTACGCCAGTTGTCAGGTTGAGGCAATAGCTGTTATGCTAATTGTATGGTTAGGCCTTTCATAACTAAAGCCAAAACATTTCATTATTTTAGTTATACCAAGTTTCCATTTGTATTGTCAGGGCTAGGGCTCAGACCCTTCAAACCCATTGTACAGATTGGGTCACCAGACCCCTCACACGCAGGTCCTTGCTAGGTAATTGGGAAAGATCCTGGGAGCTGTTGGCAGATGACACAAGCTCAGTCTGCCGCAGCAACAGCAGCAGCAGCTTGCAGCAGCAGTAGCAGCAGTGGTGACTTAAGTCATAACCCAGGACACCTGGGTGCACATGTGCAATTACATTAGACAATAACCAAGGAACACCTGGGCACACGTGCCTATTTACATCAAATGCTCAGCAAGATTCTGAACATCTGAGGGGCCCTGACCATTTTCTTTCACTTTCCCAACAGTCTCCAATGGTGGTGAGGAGGGGGCAGTCCTTGATGGTTCTATAAAACTAGCTCATGATGTGTTCATCAATTGCAGAAGAGTACTTAAAAGTATAGCCATTCTAGACTGGGCCGGCCTGGTGGCGCACTGCTACAGTGCGCCTCTTGGGAGCGCGGTGGCGCTCCCGCCGAGGGTTCGGATCCCACATACAGACCGGTTCCCGCTCACTGGCTGAGCAAGGTGCGGGAGCAACACCGAGGGTTGCGATCCCGTTGCCGGTCCCGGTCCGGTACGGGCGCGACACTGAGGGTTGCGATCCGTTGCCGGACACGAAAAAAGACAAAAAGGAAAATAAAATAAAATAAAGTATAGCCATTCTAGTCCTAATAGACACTGGGCTGACCCCGTGGCCCACTCCGGAGAGTGCGGCTCTGGGAGCACAGTGGCGCACCTGTCGCGGGTTTGGATCCTATATAGGGATGGCCGGTGCGCTCACTGGCTGAGCATGGTGCGGGCGACACCAAGCCAAGGGTTACAATCCCCTTACCGGTCACAAAAAAAAAAAAGAAAAAAGAAACTGTCCCTGCTTCCTCCTTCCTAACAGACTAACAGGCAAATATTTGCAATCAGGTTACTATAAGCTTAGGCTATTTCTTGTGGGAAAAAAAGTGCTTCAAGGATGAGACAGAGCAGTGGCATCCTGAAGTTACTTGTTCCAGCTGGCTTTGCAACTTACTCTCTTAGGAATTAGAAACAGATGAGCTTACTTTTAAGGTCAGAACAACTGGAGGGCATTGATTTAACAGTAACGCAGAGACTGCCATTCTTTTACAGGCAAAATAAATAAACTTTAGATAAAATGCTTCAACTGATGACTTGTAAGCCTGCCTCTGGGGAAAAGAAGAGTTCTAAAATGATAGCCCTTGCTGACACCAGACATCTGGCATGGGCTT